AAACAATTTACTCGTTAATAAAGTACTAGAACTTCTCACTTTCGCCTATGACTCTGGCCGGTCCCCATGACTCACTCGGTGTTACTGAATCCCTTTAGAAAAAGACATCTTGATTTCGCCAATGACTCTGGCCGGCCCCCATGCATTCACAAGCTGCTTGTTTACAACATCCAGGAAAGGAAGTAGAAACCTCAAACCTTATAATTGATTTCCACTCGGACAGTTTTCTTGTTCACCACACACTTCCATCTATGGCACTTGTGAGATCAGCTCAACAAACCTCATCTTCTAATACTTTTCGATATTGTCGTTATCACGTGTTCCTGAGTTTCAGAGGTGAAGACACTCGCAAGAATTTTACTGACCACCTCTACACAACCTTGGTCAACGCCGGATTTCGCACTTTCAGAGATGACGATGAGCTTGAGAGAGGAGAAGATATTAAGCGAGAACTGCAGAAAGCAATCAAACACTCACGAACTTCTGTTATTGTGTTTTCGGAAGACTATGCGTCATCCAGATGGTGCCTTGACGAGCTTGTGATGATCCTTGAACGCAAGAGGACCTCAGCTGACCATGTCGTTTTACCTGTCTTCTACAATCTGGATCCATCCCATGTGAGGAAGCAGACAGGAAGTCTTGCAAAGGCATTTGCTAGACACCAAAAAACTCAACCGCTGCAGAAGGTGAAGGCATGGAGGGAGGCACTTGCAGAGGTTGCAGATCTGGCAGGGATGGTCTTGCAAAATCAAGCTGATGGGTACTTTCATTCCTACTACTACCTACTGAATTAGCTTCTTTATGGCGCGCATTAAAATACCAAAATTAGGAGATTTCGTTGCCAACTTGTAATACAAAAATGTTTTTTTTTAGTACAAATGATAACTGCAGACCTGAGACCTCAGATCTGCAAGTCAAGGTCATTTTCCACTCGGCTAGACCATTGGCATAGTACAAAATGTTAGACACACCCTTTATCCTTATTGACAATTACAATTATAGACTTCAATAGTTACAGAAAGTATGACTATTGTTCATCATCTCGTTATTTATGTGTATTTCATAGTGTAGGTGTACAAAATGTAGTTAGCGCACTTTCCAAGTTCAAAATTTGCTATTCAGTTGTAGGGCATGTTTGGTATTTACAGTGCTTTTTGAAATGGCTAAAAACACCTTCTAAATAACTAGGGCTTATATTTGATCAATCATATGTGTTTCAACCCCATAAATCAAATCTCTAGCTCTCAACTTATTTGATCGATTAATAAGCTGATCCATCATAATAAGTTTTACTGCAATTAGTTGTTTTAATTGTCTTCCCTCTCTAAAAGACCTAATCAGTTGAATCCCATCCACAACTACGGGTTCAGACCAAAAAGTGTACATACTACGGGTTAAATTTTGACAGATTTTGAACTATTTAAATTTTTTCCTTCATATTGTTAACAAAGTTTTGAGTTCTATTTAACTCTTTCAGCACTCCTCTATAATTTGTACCTTCTAACTTTGTGAACTTATTTGGTATTTTTATAGTTTAATTTTATGAATTAATCATACATGCTTGACTTCTCTTTCAATTGATTGCAATTTTTTAGGTACGAGTCAAAGTTTATCAAGAAAATAGTTAAAGTGATTGGAGACAAACTAAGTCGCACACCCTTAAGTGTTGCTCCGAACTTGATTGGAATGCATTCTCGAGTTGAAACAATTAATTTATGGTTACAAGATGGGTCCCCTGATGTTGGCATACTTGTAATTTATGGGATGAGTGGAATAGGGAAAACAACCATCGCAATGTGTGTTTATAATTCAAACTTTGGAAGGTTTGAAGGAAGCAGCTTCCTTGAAAACATAAAAGAAGTTTCACAGCAACCCAATGGCTTAGTTCAAATACAAACACAGCTTCTTTATGATATTTTGAATCAGAGAAAAATGAAAATAAGCAATGTTAGTGAAGGATTAACTAAGATTGAAGATGCAATAAGCTCTAAGAGGGTTCTCCTTGTTCTTGATGATGTGGATCATATGGACCAATTAGATGCAGTACTTCGGATGAAAGATCGATTTTGTCCGGGAAGTAAAATCATAATAACAACTAGGCGTGCAAGATTGTTAAAGGCTCATCAAGTTACTAAGGTGCATGAAGTTGAAACTTTGCATTACCAAGAATCATTGGAGCTCTTAAGTTGGCATGCTTTTGGCCAGGATCATCCCATTGAAGGTTACATAGAATATTCGCAAAAAATAGTGGATCATTGCAGAGGTCTTCCATTAGCTCTTAAAGTTTTAGGTTCTTCTTTGTTGGGGGAAAGTATAGATGTATGGAAAAGTGCACTGGAGAAGTTAGAAGCCATTCCAAATGGTGAAATAGTAAATAAACTAAGAGTAAGCTATGACTCTTTGCAAGATGACCATGACCGAAATTTATTCCTCCACATTGCTTGTTTCTTTATCGGAAAGGACAAAGATTACATTGTTAAAATACTAGATGGATGTGATTTCTATACAATTGTTGGCATTCAAAATCTCATCGATAGATGTTTGGTGAGTATTGATAAATGGGAGAAGGTGCAGATGCATGACATGATCTGTGGAATGGGAAGAGAAATTGTTCGCCTAGAATCAGAGAAGCCTTGGAAGCGTAGTAGAGTGTGGCAACATAAGGATGCTTTCAATATCTTGACAAAAAAGAATGTAAGAAAAATGTCGTATATGCACACATATATGTTTTTCATCTGTAACTATTTTCCAAATGTTTTTCCCCTTTCTTCTGTAGGGTACAGATTCAATTGAAGGCCTTGTCCTCGACATGCACATGCGCCCTATAAACAGTCACATAAACTCAATGGAGATAGTCTTGGAAACCAATGCATTTACAAGGATGCATGAACTAAAACTACTCCATCTTAGTCATGTACAACTCGACGGATCTTATGCAGAATTTTGTACAGGATTAAGATGGTTGTGTTGGAATAAGTTTCCTTTGGATTCTATACCCACAGATTTTCCTTTGGGGAGCCTGATTGTTCTTGAAATGCAATATAGCAGCTTGAGGCAAGTCTTCAAAGGAACAAAAGTATGTTACTCTACGCTTTTCAATTTTCACTTTCATTTGACTTTTAGTTTCGTAAAATATAAATATATATATATATATATATGTATATACCAATTAACTCCCCACAATTCTGTTCATTTTCCCCCCACAGTGTCTTTCGTCATTGAAGAGTCTTGATCTCAGCTACTCTCATTCCCTTACAGATACCACTGACTTCTCATTCTGCCCAAATCTAGAGAAACTTATTATTGCAGATTGTGTGAGCCTGATTTATGTCCATGGATCCATTGGAAACCTTGAGAGACTTGTTTACTTGAGTATGAAGGATTGCAAAAATCTTAAGATGCTTCCAGAGAACGTATGCATGCTAAAATTACTTGAAACAATTATTATATCTGGTTGCACAAGTCTTTATGAGTTCTCAATTGAGATGTTGAGGAACATGGAATCTCTGAAAGTTCTTCATACAGATGGAATACCAATAGGTGAACTAAGGCCAGGAAGAAGTTCATGTATCTTGAGTTCTTTACCATGCTCTTTAGTGGATTTAAGTCTTCGAGGGTGCAATCTTTCTAATGATATCTTCCCCAGGGAATTTAGTAATCTATCCTCATTGCGAAGACTAAATGTAGGCAACAATCCAATTTGTAGCCTACCAAATTGCATCAAAGGTTTAAAGGGGCTCAATGAACTTTCTTTTTCGGGATGTGAGAGTCTGAAATTGCTTGAGGGGCTACCAAAAGTGGGCACGTTGAATGTGGTAGGTTGCGTATCATTGGAAACAGTAACATATCAATGCTCTCGGTTCCAACATCACTCTATCTTATTGGGTGACAATCGCAACCTGGTTGAGTGGGAGTACGCGTACAAGCTAGAACCCATTGGAAGTGTTGATGCAGAAATGATCAATCTTTTGGGCTTGTCCAACTTGGAATCCATGGCACCCATTCGGAAGCGCAAACGAAATTGGATGTCAAGAAATTGTAGGAACCCTGATTGGAGTCCCGTCCAGGTGCCTCTCTCTCTCTCTCTCTCTCCTCTCTCTCTCTCTCTCTCTCTCTCTCATGATCATAGGAAAGAAAGAGTTCACTTGTATTATTGTCATTTACATTGCATATGTATATATTAGGGACTGTATGAAAGAGGTATATTCAGCACATTTTTTGCTGGGAATGAGGTTCCAGGCCAGTTCAGCCATAAAAGTTCGAAGTACCCGATATCTTTTACTGTGCCTCTACTTGATAATCACAGAATACAAGGCTTGAAGGTCTTCGCTGTCTATACAAAATTGTACGCCAATGAGTTCACTAATGGTTCTGATAAACGTTCACCGGGGCTAATAATTACTAAAGTCGCTAATAAGAGCAAGGGCCGGAAATGGCTCTATTGCCCAGTATTCTACGGTATTCCAGGTGAAGGAGAAGACATGATATGGTTAAGCCACTGGAAGTTGGGGAGGGAGGTTCGCTTAGATGGTGGCGATCAAGTGGATGTTACTGTATTTACGCAACCTTCACTGAAGGTAAAGGAGTTTGGCATTCAGCTTGTGCAGGTTTCCACAGATTCTTATTATCCATGTGTTAGGAGTCGATGTTTTTGTCAATTTAAGCAAGACGTACACTTGATCTCCACCTGCTGTGGACCAATACCATGTCCGATTTGGCTCTGATGATGAACATACGAGAGGTGTCTTGTTTATTATTATGATTTTACTCCAACTATTTCCAAAATAAAATAAAGTACAAGTGTTGTTAGTTTTATCATATTTATTGACCACCCTCTCTAATACACGTGATTCACATGGAATCACCTCTATTCGATAAGTGGTCAATAAATATGGTACAAATAGCATTTTTCATAAATTAGCATCACAATCCATATTCATTCCAGAACGAAATTTCCTCTGATTTGTTGGGATTTACTATTTTTGTATGTCATTCTGCAGACAAAGAAGAAGAGCAAAACGATCTTCATACAATTGTAGCCAATAACTCCTGTGGTCCTCATGGCTGGAAGGTGCTCATCACCGCCGCTTGCTTCATTCTCATGCTCCCTCTTATCACTCTCTCTCACAGAAAGAAGCCAGTTTACCAAAGACGTGGATGAATTGTTTGTACCGGAACAGCCCGATTGAGTTGCTTTCTACCCTCACATAAATTACCATCAAACTCTTGTTTTGCATATATCCCATGTCTTCTCTTCTTAAGACCTATTCATTTTAGGTCTTTGAACATATACCAGGCAATGTTTCCTTCGATTCTTAGTGCAATTCATTTACAAAATTAATTTATGACAAAACTATACTTATCGAGAACCAAAATCTCAAGCTAATCTCAGTACATATGTTTAATCAAGAACATTCACATTTCTTATAACAAAGATATGCTTCTAGAGACAAGGCTGACATTTGCAAAAATTCGTATGGATCAGAGACATAACAGGACAACATATTATATTACATTATACCAAATCAATTAAATAACAGACAAAATTTCAGAGCCTAAACCCAAAGGCCAATACAGCCGCCTCAGCCATGCATCACCACTATACTACAGAAGCTCGTTTCTGGTTCTTCAACCCAAACAAATTATTGAGGTCAGGAACCATAGCTGGAAGGGTCATAGGCTCTGGAGCCATGAAATTTACGATCTTCTCGTGAACATTATACCTGCAAAAGCATATATTTATTAATGCAGGAGCCTTCAACATTAGTTCTCGCCTAATATACTCAACAGATTCTCCAAGATAATTTCCAAAACAAAATCATAGCAGTTCCACATAGGGAACCAAAGAATTATCCTATACTGATACCTTATCTTACGACTCTTAGAGGCTCGTCTATCCACAATCTTCCTCTTCTTAGTCTGCAACTTTTTCAGAGAATAAAAGGCTGTCTCTGTGGATGACCAAATAGTGGAAAATCACTCATTAACAATACGCTGGCAATACAGGTTGATTAATAACTAGAACAGCTACGCCAGAGCACTCCATTTTGAAAGTTATAGCAACTTGATTAATAGAGTTGACGATCAACTAAGCTCCAAGCCCAACATAAAGGAGACAATACAGTGACTTTGACTTTGACCACTTTAGGAGATACAATGATAAACAATTGAAAATACAAGAGTTTTTCAAAGCAATTTGAATGCATTTGTTGTTTTTGAACCACATAAACTCTTAAGATTGGGTATAGCCATATAAGCACACATTTAAAAGAATCATGTATGAAGTATGAGATGCCCCAATAGTTTACCAGAAGATGCTGGGTCAATTGTCTCAAAAAACTCTTTCAATAATTGCTGGTAAAACTCGGAGTCATCCAAAGTTCAGGGTCGCCATCAGCTTGTGCACCAGCATCACATTGTGTCTCCTATCAGAGTACAGGAATAAAATTAATAAAGTTTTTTAAATAGAAACGTAACTTTCATGAAATTTAGGCAAACCTCACAAGCACATCAAAGTCGCAAATAAAGCAAAATATTAATTAAGGGATATAATTAAAGTTAATGAAGCATGATGAGTATTAAAAAACCCATAGCCCTCACACACAGGTGGCATGGTTCATTAGCATAACGCAAAGGAACAAACTCATACGGGGCCATGCGAAGAATATTGAAGCAAACACCACAAATGGCCCAAAAATTGTTCGAACATGATTTTTGTTTTATAAACTAGCATCCATCATAGAGAATGGATTTGTACCCCATTGTGACATGGGAAAACTTTAAAAATCCCTGGGACATTAAAGTGCGATGTAATCTACACATGGGTCCTCAAATTGGCATAGCATTAGTGAACCCAATTATATGCAGAAGAGTAGGATTACCTCTCCCTTTGGAGTATTCTCCCTGTCAGAAACCTGCCCATCCATCTGTCAGGTATTAATTAGTAGATGTACAAAATTAAGAAAAACATATCTTCTTATGATGTTATAAATGAAAATTCTGTCTGATCATGCCCATGCAACCTTGGGAACTGTGACATTTTCAATATTTTCAAATTGCAGGGAAGATTTAATATCTTACAGTGCCAAATACACCAATTGCTGATCTCCTCATCTGCATCTGCTTAACCATTCTGCTTGGATCTCTCATATAAGAAGCAACTTGTTCACTGATATTCTGCAATTGAAAAGGAAAATTCATTGATGTCGAATATCTGGCAAAGCATGGGTATACGTCCACTCAAAGGTCGGAGCTTGATTATAAGTTCAATCATAGGGTCAAACCTGATTAAAAGCATGCAGCTTGCTTTTAATAGCAGCAGCACCTGTGGTCACTTGTGTCTTCCTCTGCCATTTGTCTATTGATTTGTTTCTAAAAGTAGCTATGCTACAAGATACAACATGAAAGGCCTTAGTTAGACCAAGTTACCAGTATAGAATTAATTGCATTAAAAAATTTGCTCACAACAATGAAATGTTGAACATAGTAGAACAAAACGCCATAAATCATGAGGAAAGTTGTCGCAGCATTAATGCAAGTATAAGAGTTTTTATGGTAGAACTTCCCACGAGTATAATTACATCTCGGTGTATACATGTCGCTGTAGAATTTTTAAGAAAGATAAATAATTTCATGGTCCTTTGCCGGCCCCTTTAGCAAACATACTAATTTACTCCACTTTCATAAGTTGAATTTAAAATATCAAGCGACTTTAAATGCTACTATTGTCTGGTACATCTCATCTGTAACAGTTACAAGAAGCTTTATAACATAATATCATGAGGTATTAACTGTCAACTGCCTAATAAAAAATGATCTAGTTAGAGAAAAAATACTAAGATACTTGAATCTACCATTTAATAGAAATTCCAAAAGAAAACAGGGAACACTATTTCAAGCTTCTTTTTGCTGCTCTAAATGGATCAGCCAGGTATTGCATGAACTAAAATTTAATACATTCAGTTTCACACAAGTATAGATAGAGATCAATACAACAAGAGCATATGTGGAGTATGATCCTTCTTCTCAAATTATCTAGAATATGATTCAAGTACCTTGAAAGCAACTGAGAAATCCGTGACCAGTCCTCATCACCATCAGCATCAATGTTATTAGATGATTCTGAATGCTTTGACCGTGCAGATTTACCTTAAGAACAGGAAACATATTACAACAAGCAATAAATGTATACATGCAGTATGAAGTTAATGAAAGTGCAAAAAGTACAAACTAGGACAGTCAATTAGACTAAGGTAGCCCAAAAGCTGGATTTGTTTGGCTTAATCTGACTAAGCTTAATATGATATAGCTGGAAGGATTTTGGGCTGACTTTTTAAGCCAGATTTAAAATTTTGGCAGATCTTGGTCTACCCTCAGATCAACCAAAACAGGGCCCAATCTGATTTGGTCTATGCCTATATTATGCTTTTGACCACTGTAACAAATACCTACCTCTGGAGTCTGGAGTGATGTTACCTTTAAGGCTATAATCAAAATCACCAAGTGTCTAATTTTTTGTTAAGGATAGCTATTTTATCACACCAACAGGAGCACTCTGAATTTCACACCTAATAGGCTCTAAAACATCAGCTACTGGACTGACTCGAACTCGATCAGAACTCAGCACAAACTTCACTCCAATTCAGGTGACCCAAAGCTGAACGGCAAAGATTTAGATCTGAAAATTGAGCTGGTTCAAGCTCAAGCTAAATGTTTTGCAATTTGGACTGAGCTTGGGAAAGCGCTGAGCCCACTCCATTCCTCTCAATTGACACCTTGACACCCTTAGTAGTAACAAACTTAGTCCCAGCATAATCCTAATTATATTCTGAATTATAGTAAATAACTATTGCATGGGAAGTTCTCAAATTGTAGAACCCTATAATCATATGGAAGGAAGGAAACTTGAAGTATTTCCTTAAATTTCGATTTAAAAGACCTAAGTATCTTAGCTAATTGTATGTTTATAAGTTACACACTCTTAACAAGGAACAAAACGGCTATTAAAAACTTTAAACACAGAAAACAGAAAACACCAAGCATAGCAAAACCTTTCGCATATTGGCAATTCTTATCATGCAGAAAATGATAGTTAATGAACGACAATGACAGAGGGTCAATTTGCATTACAAAATACAAACAATAGTATGATGAATGTAGTTTGTACATACTATCTGTTGCTTGAACAATGGATGGGTTCTTTTCAAGTAAAGCCTGTAACAAGAAAAGTAGCATGTTGTAAGTGATTTTAGTATACACAGATGGCAATATTAGCAAACCATAATAATATATAAATTACTTATCATATTACTACAAGCTACGAAGGTAACCATAGACCAAGTAATACCAGGTAGACATTATAATTTTGTATGACGGCCATACCTCTTCTAGTTCCACTAGAGAATCCAAAGTTCTTTTTGATGCGTTAACTAGATCCGAATATGCTGCATTGACACCCTCATGTGAATCACAAAATAAAGACCTAACTGGCTCCTGCAGATAACCTCTCATGTATGAACATAATAGTTAACATGACAAAAAGCTAGTAAAACAGGAAAAGGAAAGCTGCTGAAACAGACCTGTGGTAATCGATTTGAACTTGAGAACGCTTTCTGAAGCAAGAATCGGAACTCAAGAGTCTTGTCCCAAAGAGCCTTCAGACAAAAGGAAAACAACACCATAGAACCAAGGGTAAGAATGAAAAACAATCATATTATAATTCACTATATAAATCCTTTTGTCAACTTTAAGGTGACACATAAAAAGAAGTATTAAATAAGGAACAATAATTTCACATTGACGAATAAAACATATTTTGTGGAAATCATAAGAGCCATTATTTGCAAACACACCTTTTGGTTCTTCACTGCTTGACCTTTAAGAAGATCTTCATCCTTGTGACGCTTTAGATTCTTTAAAATATCTCTGCACAGAAAGAGAGAAAAAAAACCGAGGGGCAAAATTAACTTCATATGTCAGCTGAAGCATGTATGTTCTTCTGTTGTTTATCAAGAACCGACAAATTGCATACACATACAACTGAATTTAACCCAGATACATGACTACATACCAATTTTCACTAGGATTTGCTTATGTATGCATGTTCCTGTTGGTTTGTCCTTTTCCAATAACAAAATTAAATAATTACTGAAACTTAGCCTAGAGCTAAGATGAACATGGAACCAGTATTCAATTTCTATAGATACAGTCACAAACTACGTAATTTATTTAGTGACTTCTTCAGCATAATACTAAATTTCCTCATCATGAAACTGATATTCTCCCAACTTTCATATTATTTAGGTGCTACATGAAAATGCAACTTTATGCAATATTATAGCGTTACAATGGTTTGAAATTTGAGACAGAACATCAATGTAATCAACAGTAGCATATACTCACACATACCAATATAGTATGTCGTAATTCTAATTAAGCATAACAAACTTAAAAAGTAAAAACAAAAATAAAATGCTTGTCAACAGAAGTCACTTACTGCTCCTGATCACGAAGACTCATGTATTCTTTCTCAAGTTCTTCTATCTCAGCATCTTTATTATCATCTTGCCCATCACCATTTTCCTCTTCCTCCTCCCCCTCTTCTTCTTCTTCATCCTCTTCATCTTCTGATTCTTCTTCATTCTCTTCATCTTCTGATTCTTCTTCCTCCTCCTGATCATCATCAAAGTCATCCTCTTCCTGCTCCATCTACATAACAGTCATCAATTACCAACACAACCACCAAAATAAAACTGAATGATTACCAAAACCCAATAAAAGAATATAGATACAAACTAACCATTAGCTCGTCACTGTTTAAATCGTCATCATCCTCAAACTCACTGTCACTGTCACGAGCCTTTCTCTTCTGCTTTGAAGGTACCCCCATTTTCTGACTTCTGAACCCCTACAACTTTCAAAACCCAAATATTTAAGCAACCAATTCCTATAAATTTTGGGTATTCATATATTTACTTCCACAAAAGTTTTAGCTTTAATGGGACATACAATCTCATTTCAAATACGCAACCAATTCAGAAATCCTAAATTCTAAAGTTAACGAATTTTCCTTGTCTCAGCTAAGAAACCAAACAAATGCAACAGAGATTGAGAAAGAAACCCTAACCTTTCGAAGGTGAAAGAATAAGAAAGACGGCGACAATTGAGAGAGAGGCAGAGAAGTCTGAGAAGCCGTGGGTTTTTGGGGTTTAAGCTTTCATAGAGGCCAGTATTTAGTTTGGGCTTTAAGTGGAGGTTTGGGCCCATTTATAATGGATCCAGGTCCAGGTTCAGTATTCTCTCTTTTTTTTAAATTATTTCATTTTAAAAACTTGACTTTAGTATTTTAAAAACTGATTTTTATAATTATATTATTCTAAAACTTAATGTTTTTTTTTTTTTTTTTGTTTTAAATTTTTTTAAATATTCCTTCTTCCTCCTGCACGGCTGCCCCCACCCCAAAAATCTTTATAATCCTTGTTTTTTCTTTGAAAACTAGTTTACTTCTATATTTTCTTTCTCACTCTAGGTTTTCAATTATTTGGGTAAACTTAATGATTTAATTTCCTATGCCCTTGGAGCTAGTTTCTTATTCGATGTGTCATAGGATTCTTGTTATGTTTATACTCTTCTTAGTAAGAATGGTTTTGTGTTCTAAGATTGGAGAAAGAAAAGATTGATGACCGATGCAGACGTGCAGAGAAGGAAGAAGGGGTATTATAGCTGGATTTTGAGTAGCAATGCATGTGATCCCACATGCACACGTGTATCTTGCTGGAGCTTTGTTCCTTGCATTTTTCGTAGGTAACTTAAAGAACAATTCTTGCACCTCATGCCTCAATATCCTTCTACAAATTCTACTTTTTCCACCCAATATGCTTGCTTACATTGTACTCTTTGGGAGAGTATTTTAGAAAATATAAATAAAGGGGCATGCAACAATCTGATTAAAGTGTACTTTTGACAGAAATCTTTTTCAATATTATGTAAAAATGGAGTTGTGGGAGAGCAATACAAAAGATGAGTATTATACGGGGTGGGTTGTCGGATTCGAACTTAAAACTTCTTCCAACATTAAAAAGGAATATCATAAAACTAATAAGTGTTAGTTGATCTTATACAACTGAAAGAAACCTTTAATCACGATAATCAATTGAATTTAAAAAAGAATTTTTTTAACATCAATTTCAATAAAGTTATAGGACGTGTTATAGAGTCAACATCTACATAAATTTGAATAAAATAGCTAAAAATACGAATGGCATGACATGTCGGTCTTATGATGATTAATATCAACATCTAGAGATCGATGCTTCATTTAATTAATATGTTAAATAAGCAGCATCGTAATTACTTGGGACAAACAAAATTAAAAAAGAAGAAACAAAACAACAACAAATCGAATGAAAAACAAAGACAAAAGAAGAGATCATACACTACATAGTGCAATCCATGATTGGAGGATGCACACGTGTGACAGCTAACACACACGTGGGAAGATCTTAATCATGGCCGACCAAAACCCTCATGTACTAATCATAACGCTTAAAAATTTCATGCCCAACTTGGTTTATTAAATTATTAATATGAAAATTGGGATATGGATCGTAAGTTGTTGATGAGACAAGCATGTGGGTGATACTGCTGGATGAGCGCGTGGGTATTAATGAGGTTGGAAATAAAGAAAACGAGAGAGAGTATCCAATGATTGAGAGAAATGCGTGTCTGGTTAGGGAGAGACCAAAGTGACACGCACGAGTGCAATAATGGGGCCACGTGGTGATGAGAGGCATGTTGGTGCACGTGACGCCCTCTCCACGTGATTTCACACTTTTCCACCCCTTAGCCATTTTATTTTTATTTTTCAAAATTCCACCCCTTAGCCATCGCAAAAGGCCAAAAACATGCAGAAGGCAAAGGCAACTAACTGGCCTTCTACCTGCCCTCGTGGTTAAATGCTTGCACTAACTCATCGTGGTCTTGGACTCTTTGGTTCGGAGGTTGGTACCGTATTCTTTACAAAACCCTGAAAAGGCAAAGACAAGTAAGTGTCGTTAGTGTTTAAGTGAATAGTATATTTAAGTGTGGTTAAAGCACTTGCAGCATTTTGCCCATTGCCATGATAAAGGGGGTTAAGGAAGCTACTATTCACGTAAATAGTGGCTACCCTTGCAAAAAGCAATGTGTATTTCCAGTAGTTGCCCTTTGCCATAGCAAATATTATTCATTTTTTTGTTTTTTTCACAACTTTTTTTTACCTAAACAATTAATTTGGATAATATTTTTGGATAAGATTTTTGGGTTCCTACGTGTCAATACTATTTATATCAGATAAGAATTTTCAGTTTCAAATTTCAGATAAATTTCAAAATTCATATCGAGTATTGGTTGGTATTTATAGAAAAAAAAATATAGTAATTTTTTGGTATTTTTTTTCATTTTTTTACTGTAAAAAAATTGGTTGCCGTTAGATTGGAGGAAAAAATCTGGTCGGAGAGCCCAGAGTGCGACATGTGGAAGAGAGCGTTGGCGGTATTGTAGCGGTGCTTTCAAATTTAACGTTAAAAAAATTTGGACACCAGAGCTGACGTCATCCTTCCCTCGAGCCAACCTGGTTTGCTGGGTCCCACCTTGCGCCCGGGCCTTGTTTTGTTGCTGGAAACAGGTTTAGGCCAAACCCCACCCCTCCCCCCTCCCCCTCCACCCAAGTAAGCCCTCCCTTTGGTCCCCTTGCTGGAAATACTCTTACTATTAAGTGAATAGTATATGCCCTAACTTTTTTTTTATCCATTGACATGGCAACTCAACGACAATTATTATTCATATGAGATTAATTTTTTTTATACGTTTGCATTAATAAATAAAAATGGGAGTTGATTTTCTCACTCATCTTTTTTCTACTTACACTCCCTTTTGTTTTTTAATACTTTTTAATCAATTTTATTTCTTTTTATTTATTTATCTTTTCTATTCTACCTGTATCATACATCATTTTAATATTATTTCTTCTTCTTTTTACTTCATTTTTCAACATCAAAATAAAAAAGAGAAAGAAAAAAAAGAAAAAAAAACCCAGCCCCTCATGTATTGTACATTGTACAAGCCAACACGTTCCTCACATCCCCTCGCCACCGTCCTCACCCAACCCCAGCCATCACCCATCTCTTCCTCCATTTCTTTTTCTTTCTTTTTTCCTCACCTCCTATCTTCTATCGATCTCCATCCTATTTCTCTCTTCCTCCTTGCGTTCTTCTCTCCATCTCTCTCAGTTTATCTCTCTCACACACTCTCTCTTTGTCTCACTGCTCTATCCCCCTCACCATTCTCCCCAAATCGATTATCATTTCAAAATTTATATCGCACGTAAATTAACTAGGCATACAACAAAACAAGCTCTGGCCACCTATAAGCATAGTCTAAAATATTGATAATATCGAGGATATTATCGTTTTTTTGAGTCATGGATATTTTGGAACGTATTCATACACATATTGTATAAATATCAATAATATTGGAAAATATCAATGTCGATAATTTTGCTCACACTTCAGCAATATTTTATCAAAATATCACTATAATACCGCTATAATATCGAAAATATCGATGTAATGAACAAAATGAAAAAAAAACAAAACAAAACACACACACACACACACACAAAGCACACACACAAAGGGGATTCAAACCCTTGCCATTTCACTCCTTCAACGCCTTAACCATCATATTGCTTATTCGTTTTATGATAATATGCTAAAATATGAATATTTATATTGTTTAGTTTTGAACAATTACATGCAAAACTATTTTGGGGGTTTATCATTTGATGATTACCCTTCATAATACACTTACTCTACACATAGAGATGATGTAGATAGTGACAATTTAGAATCTCATAAGAACTTTGTGTGGTACTAATCACTCATGTATCTTACCCAATGTCTAAAATATCAATGGTATCGGAAATATTGGTAGTCCAAAAACACGGAAATTTCTATAGAAATATCGGGATATTATCGAGATCGATAAAAATTAAAAAAAAACCACGGAAATTGAAAAAAAATTGATTTTTTTTTTTTTTTTTTTTTTTTTTTTTTTTGGATTTTGATGGTGTGTATTTAGTCATTTATCTATTAGTTTATCATAAAAAAAATTAGAAGGAAATGCATTGCATGATGGGTTTAACTTATTTAAATTGATTATATAACGAGCTAACTAACACTTTAAGTCTAGAAAATATGTAGTAATTAATGAAAGAAAGTTAAACACACCATAATTATTTATATATAATGATTTACAATAATATTTTACACTTTATACATTGCATGATAAGATATATGAGTAGTACCACATACAGTTCCCCTTTGTGTATTTCACAAAAACATAAGGAACTTGGTGCTTAAGGTGTTGGATGAGTGAAATCGCAAGGGTTCAAATCCCCTTTGCGTGTTTGCTTTGTTTTTTCTTTTCTTTTCATTTTTTCCATTACATCGATATTTTCGATATTATTGCGATATTTGACAAAATATTGCTGAAGTGTGAGCGAAAATATCGATATCGATATTTTTCTATATTATCGATATTTATACAATATGTGTATGGATACATTCTGAAATATTTGTAACTCGAAAAAACAATAATATTCTCGATATTTTGTCGATAATTTTGATATTTTAAACTATGATCTTACCACACAATGTATAAAGTGTAAAATATTATAGTAAATCATTATATATAAATGATTATGGTATGTTTAATTTTCTTTCATTACTACAGATTTTCTATACTCACAGTGTTTGTTAGCTCACTATATAATTAACTTAAATAAGTTAACCCATCATGGAATGCATTTCCTTCTAATTTTTTGTGATAAACTAATAGATAATTGACTGA